AGGGTCCTCTTCAAAGGTAGTAAGCACACTTAACTGCTTGACCATTTCTCTAGCCCATGGACTGGTACATTTTTTAAGCTGGGCCAAATCATTAAAAGCTTTGAAGAATTTCATTCACTTAAATTAATATAATTGGGCTGGGGTGTAGCTCAGTGATAGAGTACTTGCATAGCATCTACAAAGCCTTGGGTTCACTTGGCACCACAAAAAGAAAAGCAAAAGCTAAAATAATATAATTGAGAGATAAAAGGAAATTTAAAAGAAATCAAGTTATACTAAAAACAAAACTTACTCAAAGAGGAAAAAATATTCATAGTGACAACACTAAAATGTTATACAGTTACATGTTCTTACAATGTGAACCATAGTGATCAAAGCTACGCATATAAAAATTATATTTCCTATTTATTTTACCTGTGTTCTTTCATTGAATATTAGCAAAGCCTAATATGTTTGACTACTTAATAAATATTTGTGATCAATGGGGTGACTCTGTAATGTTGACTGTGCTTCCACAAGATCCCTAGCCACAAGAAGCAAAAGTATCCTAGCCACTGGGCCTGGGTTCCACACTTGTGACCAAAGTTGCTTGGCTTAGGGCAGGCAGTCTAATCCATTGGTTGCCCTGTACTCCTATGGATAAAGAACACCATATAACTACCACAACATAGTACCCTTGCATTTCTTGGTGCCAAAGGGCTAAGAAAGTGTTATATCATGCCTTTGTTCTCTGTCCTTAATCTGTTAATAACCTCAGCAAGCAGATACCAGGGGCTGACAGCACTCCAATATTGAGATTCTTCTCCTCCTTAGGACTGCATGAGATAACAGAGCTGAAACATTTGATAGATTATAGCCAAATAAGACATTATTGCTGTATGCTAATTTATATAAAAAGCAGATCCTATTTTAGGCAATTTTTGCCAAGTGTTTTATACACGCTAACACTGATAATACTGTTAACAGTCCACAAATACTGAGCAGAAGCACTGTCACACACAACCTGCTAAGTGAGCTACATACATGACCACATCTGAGCCTTATAACAATCTTCTGTCATAGAAATTGTTGCTGTCATTATAAGAGTAAAGAAAAAGGACCTTGTAAGAGAGAGTACTTGTACTGAACACAAAATCAACTAGAAAAGATGGCTCACGGAGCAACTATTTGGGAACTCATTCTCAGCACACACTGGCATCACCTGGAGGCTCTCAGAAGCTAGATCCCTGGTCCAGAGACACAAGCTTGTGATCCCAGTACTTGGGAAGCAGAAGAGGAAGATCGCCACAAGTTCAAGGCCCACCTGGTCTACATAGCAGATTCCAGGCCAGGCAAGGCTACCTAGCCAGACCCTGTCACAAACAAACCAAAACAAAACAAAATTTTTATCCCTTACTCCACACTCAGAATTAAGCCTGTATAATCTTTTAGCCAACACTTGGTTAAAGACCAGCTTATTTCAATACTAATTTACATGTATTAGCAGATAGCATTATTTGTATTCTCTGAGTTTGCATTATTCAAAAGTATGTAAGAGTTAGTGATTTCAACTAGACTATACTAGCTACAGGGTGAGGGGCAACTACAACTGTTAGGGCTGGGCACTACAATGAGGCCCAGGGAGGAAGTCCTTTGTCCCAGGAAAGTGAAACCAGAAGTCTTTCTCAACTGAAGCAGTGTCCAAAGGACATAATGTGGATATGACTATTAATCTTTCCATGCTGGCACACAGCAAATGGTAAGTAATTGTGAAAAGGACAAATCAATGATGGACTTCCCTCCAGCTGGAACTAATTTCACTGTCCTTGAAATTCCTTATATTTGTTCTATACCTTTTTCCACCTTACTACATTTGCCTTGCATTTCTGATACTTCAAAAGAGGTTATTTTACTGAAGCTAAACATTAGGGGCTGAGCCTCCCTTCTACCCCAACGCAGAGCGTAACTAAGTCTTCTAACAGAGACCCTCAATGCTCAATGAGATTGATTGATAGGTTGTAGTAGACTGATTCCCACTACGACCTAATTGACATCTGTGTGTCCCTGTTAGTCATAACACATAAATGAGTCTATCAAGTTTTTAAGAACCATGGTCTAGTGGCTGGAGAGATGGCTCTGCGGATAACAACACTGGTTGTTCTTGCAGAAGACCCAGGTTTGAATCCCAGGACCCACATGGCAACTAAAAACTGTCCATTGTCCTTAACTCCAGTTCCAGGGGATTCGATAACCTCTTCTATCCTCTGGGGGCATTGCACAACACGGGTGCACTTACCTACATGCAGGTAATACACCCATACACATAAAATAAAATAAAAAAAAAAGAACCATGGTCTAACTATGAGTTTCTGGAAAATAGCCAAGAGAAGTCTCTGTTTAGAAGTCATTAGGAATCTGGTAGACTACATTAGAGGACGGGCCTCAGGAAGACCACAGCTAAATGAAAGGAATATAGCAACACATCAAAAATGCCCTTGTGTAGTTTTATTCTCTTGGTTTCATCATGAAAACTGCAAGTCCTGAAAAGTATTAGTCAGGACCACACTCCAAATGTTCAAGAGAGTACACAAACACAGTGACAAACCATCCAGGAAAGGGGCTCATAGCCGACCAGAGCACCTGACAGTGAAGTTAAAGACACAAGCACACCTCCTCCTCTTCACCACCAAACCTATTTCAGCCCATTATTGCTCTGTTTGGTGCCACACTGTATAATGACTGAACGGCCCTTGTGTCAAGTTGCTTCTTGTGCCTTCATTCCCCATTATCCTGCTTGATCCTCACACCCTGCAATGGAAGAACTGCAAAGGTTATCAACCCCTTCATTTTTGGATGAGGCTCAAGTTGCTAAGGCATCAGGAAGTGGCTCAAGACACAGTAGAAAATTTGTGAAATGCACAAATGAAAGAAGACATAAATCCCTCCAGCTGGAAATAAACTCATTCTTTAAATGTCCTAGAATTGGATCTTACCCTGATTTCAAATCTCTTTGTGCCACATCACATAACCTAAAAGAGTTCATGTGATTCCCAATGACAGACACTCTGGTGGAGTTTGAGTAGGTAGCAGGAAGAAATGATGTTGCTGAGCTACTGCAAGGTCACCTGCAAAGCCTCGCCTGCAGTTTCTATTCATCAGGTAATGGGCTCTCATAGGTGTGCAAGGATCTGTACAATGCAACACCTCCAGGCCCCTGAGAAACTCAACCTTGCAATAGTTGAAAAAGACAGTGTCCTGAGCAATGTGAGGGGGTTTAAAATGCAGAGTGCTGAGGCCAGGTATGGTGGTGAGTGTCTTTAATCCCAGCATTCAGGAGGCAGAGGCAGGTGGATTTCTGTGAGTTCAAGGCCAGCCTGGTCTACATTGTAAGTTCCAGGCCAGCCAGGGCTACATAGTAAGACCCTGTCTCAAAATGGGGGGAGGGGGCAGTGGGGGCTTGAGAGATGGCTCAGATGTTAAGAGCACTGGTTGCTCCTGCAGAGGACTCAGGTTCAGTTCCCAGCACCCACACGACAGAAAACAACTGTCTGTAACTCCAGTTCTAAGTGATCCAATGCCCTCTTCAGACCTCCACGGACATTGCACAACATGGGTGCCCTTACATACATGCAGGCAATACACTGGCACACATAAAATATTTTAAAAAAAATGTTTTTTTAAAGCAGAGTGCTGATAGCCTATGTAGGGTTTTCTCCTTTGAAGAAGTCAAAAGGTGGGGGCTGGAGAGATGGCTCAGCAGTTAAGAGGACCCAAGTTTGGTTCCACATCGGCCCATCAAGTGGCTCACAATCATTTCCTTTCCAGGGGATCTGATGCCTCTGGCCTCCACAAGCACCTGCACGGGCGCGCACGCGCACACACACACACACACACACACACACACACACACACAAATGATAATAGTAAAAATAAATTTAAAAAAGAAGTCAAAAGGTGGTTTACAAAGTGAAACAAAAAAAATTCATTATGGAAATTAGCATTTTTGAGGAAGCAAAACTCTATCTACCAATGTAGATTCTAAACGAAGCTACAGAATTGAAATTGTTTTGAGAAACTGGAGAAAGAAAACCTACCCAGGATGCAAATGTGTCCCCCGCTCCTACGTGCAGCCAAGCATGGAAAGTGGAGAATGAGGTAAAAGAGCAACGAAGATCCAGGGGCTGGGCTGACTAGAGACTTTCCCTTTCAAAACAAGGGACCAAACCTATGCTCCAGACAACCTGAGAGGATTCTGGAGAGCACAGAGAAGTCCAGGAGCCCCAGGCCCCGGGGGTGAATATTCCCATGAGATTAAGCAGGTCCTTTGTTAATCTAGGTTCAAAGTCTAGGCACAAATTGAAGATCTGGGTCACCCCTACTGGGTCAGCTGGTTTCCTTTACACTTGCAAGTTTAACAGTTCTTTCTTTAAAAGAAAAGTACGTGGAAGGGGAGGGAGGGAGAGTGAAGGAAGCCTTCTAAGAGTTACGGAGAGGCCCGGGGCGCAAAGCCCTGACCCGGGTAGCCCTGCCTCAGAGCAGTGCAGTCACCTAAGTGCGCGTCTACGCAGACGGTGGGCTTGGCTGTCTGTGAGCCCGGGGAGGAAAGATCCTCGGGGAGCCAAGTTCAGGGAGGGACATGCTCCAAAGTCGCCCTCCGCTGGAGCTGGGTCTGCAGAGGCAGCGCCGACGCACCGCCGCCCAGCGGTGAGCGGAGGGTGCGGCGGGAGCGGGTCCTGATCCTGGGAGGCTCTGGGTCCGCGCAGCCGGGTGGCCAGCCCCGCAGCACCATCCTCACCCCGCAGCGCGGTCCGCTACCCGCAGCACCGTCTCCACCCCACAGCGCAGTCCCCAGTCCCGGCCGGCCGCCACCCCTTCTTCCCGCGCCAGTGGCCGGCGGGCAGCACGCGCGGGCCTGGCGGGGATCGCGCCCGTCCGCGCCGAGTTCGTGGTCTCAACATCCCCGCAGCCCGCCCAGCCCCCGACCCTGGAGAGCCCTGCACGGTGGGCTCCGAGTCCCTTACCGCCGGGCGGCTGCAGGCGGCTCTTCTGCCCCGCGACGCGCGGGGCATTTTTTTCTGGGAAACTTCTCTCGGGGTCCGAAGGGCTGAGCTGAGGCGGGCAGGAAAAGCTCCGCGCTGGGAGGCAGCGACCATCCGGGAACTTCGCCGGGATGTGAGCCGTGGACGCGCCGCGAGGCCGCCGCCGGCCCTTCGCGCTTCGGCCCCAGCGCCGCGCCCTGCCCGCCGAGGAACGGCGGCCCCAGCTGTGCTCGCCACGGGCCGCAGGCGGAGGGGTGCAGGACCTCCGTGTGCCCCGGAGTGGGACCTGGGAGGGGTGTCCAACCAAGGGCGCTGTCCCTAGAGACTTCCCAGGCTTCTGGGTGGCGGTCCTCTCCCCCGAGTCAGGAAAAGCCTCTTCCCGTCATCTTCCCTCCGTCCTCAAACAAGAGGGCCGGGCTTTGAGAACCGTAAAGTTCCAATTCACTTAAAAGATGGATTTAAAAATGGAAAGGGACCCACAGAGGCCCAAGGTCCACAGGCATCCCATTCCCCGCCCACTGTGTGCGCACTGGTCTTCCCAGGGAAGGATGCCAATCGGTTGGGATTCTTGGAGTGGTTTTGCTGCTAACTGGTGGGGATGGATTTATTGTCAGTCACCCACGTCTGCAAAATCAATAGCAATAGTAGAGGAGGCTGAGGCCGGTTCTCACCAACTCTCAAAGCCACCACTTTCAGGCCTCAAAGTAAACCACCAGGACGACACACTGAACCTACACATTCAAAAGGTTAAATTATGTCAGTATAATAACTACTGAATCGTGGCTATCTATCCCTTTGAGTAAAAGCAGAGCATTGAGTTGATGCGCTTCAGAATTTGGCAACTGGGATAGGAAGCCTTCCACTCATATTCCCATATGTGCATTCTGTCTTGACATACTTCTGAAAGATACAATAATCCCTCTGGAAAGACAGTAACATGGGCCAATTCTGTTGGCGTGTGTGTGTCTGTCTGTCTATCTCTGTGTGTGTCTGTGTGTCCCTAAATGAACTCGTCTATCTTTGTTTAGGGTATCACAATGTATGCCAGGCTGGCCCAAACTTCCATGCCTAGTTGTACTCATCTAAGGTTCCTTCTCTAGTTGCTTTTCACCATTTCTGTGGTAATATGAACATGCTCTGTCTTACATAAAATGAAGACAAGTGGTAGCATCTATGTTATCCACACTTGAAAATGTATCACTAGCACTTCCCAAGGTAGGAGGAAGTCCAACCTCACAGGTGTTGTGCTTCTTACGAGCTTAAGCTTAAGCATGGGTTGCTGCTTCAGTTAAATCAGGGTAACAATAGTTCCTACCTCCTAGAACTGTTGGGAGGATTAAATGGGGGTACTCTTTCTAAGGATGAGCAGAACAGTGGCACACATGCAGAGTATGAATTTTCCCTTATCTCTGAGTCCCCAGTCTCCATAAATCCTAGCACCTTGTAAGGAATCATGTAAATATTTGTTAGGAAAAGAGCACTCTTAAATCTGTGTCTCTTGGGGAAAAAAATCTCTGGCCATTTTAGCATGAATCTGAACAAGAAAATTAGGAAAGTCATGTGATTTCAATATACCCATCAAATTGATCCCTGACGAAATTTATCCCTGCTGTGAGGTATAAGAGGTAAGACCAGAGGTATTTAAGAGGTGAGTAGGAGTCTGTGGGCATGGCACACATGCCTGAAAACCCAGGACTCGGGCTGAAGCAGGAGAATCACCAAGAATCTGAGGCCGGCTTGTGCTACACAGTAAGTTCCAGACTGGTAAAGGCTCTGCCCTCAAGAATGGATTAGTCCATTCATGGATCAGTGGACTGCCTTGAGGGGAACTGTTATGAAAGCCAGTTCTGCCTCTCCTTTGGATGTTCGTTTACTTGCCATGTGATATTTTCCACCACATTGGGTCATGACCATCTTGGGAGGCTCTCACTGGATGCAGTCTCCAGAACTATGAGCTAATTAAACTTTTTTTATTCTTTATAAAGTATTCAGTTTGAGGTTTTCAGTTATAGCAACAGAAAATGGAATAATACAAGAGGTAAAATACATGTCCCTCCCCATTTCACCACTGAAGGCCAAAACTAAACGATGCTCTGACTTGCCTACTGCTTTAAATCACTCATAAGGCCAGTGATACATTATCTTGAATGCTCCAGCTCTCTTCTTTCAAACTCCAACACTTCTCTCAATAAGATCAAAACCTGAAGAGTATTGTTATCAATGGTAACTTTCTGGTTTCAATGAGTGGTTAATGGTTATACAGGAGGTTAACATTTGGCGAAGCTGGGTGAGGTATAAATGGAAATACTTTTACTCTTTTTGCAACTTAATTATGTTCAGTTATTTTAAACTGAAAAGTTTTTCTTAAAAGCAGGTGAAAAATACCAGAACCTAAAATTCTAGATAAATATCTTGTTCTTTTGGTTGATGCAAAACTCCAGCTTAAAATAAAGAAACAGAGGTTAGAGGCAGGCAAAGTTATACTAAACCTTTGTATTCATGTATACTTAGATTTGAATGAGTAAAGAATAAAAGGCTTGTTCAGTGCACTGAAAACAAAGCCAGGCTGCAAATGTTATAGTGCCTTTGGAAAAGAGAAAGAGCAGAGAGGGATGAAAGAACGTTGAGACTGGGGCTGGAGAGATGGCTCAGTGGTTAAGAACACAGACTGCTCTTGCAAAGGACCCAGGTTCAATTCCCAGCACCCACATGGCAGCTACAAATCATCCTTAAGTCCAGTTCCAGGGGAATCCAAAGCCCTCTTCTGACCTCCGCAGCATTGCATGACATGGGTGCACTCACATACATGCAGGCAATATACTCACACATAAAATAAAAAAATGTTTTAAATGTTGAGATTGATAAACTAAGATAAAGTTACCATAGCACAATATTTTTAAATATTTCATTTCTTATTTTGTTAGGTGTATGAGTGTATTACCTGCATGTATGTAAGTGCACCTGTGTCATGCGGTGCCCTCGGAGGTCAGAAAAAGGCCTTGATTTCCCTGGAACTAGAGTTATGATGGTTTTTAGTCGCCATGTGGGTACTGGGAATCAAACCTGGGTCCTCTGGAAGAGCAGCCAGTGCTCTTAAACACTGAGCCATTCCTCCAGCCCAACACAGCACAATATTTTTAAATACAGATGGTCCAGACTTACTATGGTTTGCTTTTAATTTTTTAATTTCATAAAGGGATGAAAAAGATATATATTCAGTAGAAACCATTCTTCAAATTTCACTTTTTTTTTTTCGAGACCATCTTGAAATGCAGTCCACGCTAGCCTCGAACTCACAAACCTTCTGCCTCAATCTTCTGAATGCTGGGATTGCAAGTGTGTACCACAATTCTTGACTTTGAATTTTGATCATTTCCTGAGTATGCGTTACAATACTCTCTCATGTTTTCTTGGCAGAAAAGGGAATCATGACAAGGGTAAACAACCTATACTCTACAGTGTGCTGTGTTGCTAAGCAGTGAATTTCAGTAGGTTAGGTATGTTAAATCTACTTTCAATGTATGATATTTTCAACTTGCACTAGGTTTTTCAGGATGTAACCCCATTGTAGATAGAAGAGCATGTATCTGCTTCTTGTTTCAGATCTACTATTTTGGGACTCATTCTAACTCCTAAACTAGTGCCTTAGAACGTCCCCACTTAGAATGATGACTTGTTTATTGCAGTTACTTTCCCCTGAGCAGACAATAGACAATTAGCAGAAATGGAGTAAGAATAAGGACTTCACTGGATTCCTACAGGAGCCTTGTGAAATAGGTATTTGTCGGGGCTGGAGAGATGGCTCAGCGGTTAAGAACACTGGTTGTTCTTGCAGAAGACTCAGGTTCGAATCCCAGCATCACATGGCAAATAACAACTGTCTGTAATTCCAGTTCCAGGGGATCTGACAGCTTCTTCTGTCCTCTGAGAGAATTGCACAACATGGGTGCACTTACCTACATATAGGCAATACACTCATACACATAAAATAAAAAATAATAAAATAAAATATTTTTTTAAAAAAGAAATAGGTATTTGTCTCTGGAAACTGGTGACTCAGAAAGCCTGGGTAACTTGCTCAAGATCACTCCATTTGTGAACTTCTAAGCCCAGACTATTATGACGACAATACCTTCACTTCAGCCCCCATGCAATACTGTCTCTTAACTTTTTATCTTCTGTTTGTTCCACCTCTGAACCTCTGCTGGTATGAATGACCTAAATTCAGAATCCTTAATGCCAAATAGCAAGAGAAGAAAATACTGTTACATTCCTTAGCAAACAATTATTGGATTCCAGGCACGTCTGGTTAAATGCTTTGTGCTACCTTGGGTTTTGGCTTCTGAGTTCATGCAGGAGGGATATGGACAGTTATGTGGGACAAGAGCACCATGCTAGGTCAGGGGATGTAGTAGAGAATCAGAAGATGTTGGGGAGGATGCTGTCTGCAGCTGCTTTGCACTTCATGAGTGCTCAGCCTATATTTAATAGATGTATCCAGAACTGGAAGACTGTGCTTATGAGAGTTGATTATGTTATTTATATCATATTTTATTCCAAAAACCCCTTAAGACAGTAAGAGTTGACTATGATAACTTTGGGGGGGGTGTTGAGTTTTATTGTTTGTTTGGTTTTTTTGACAGGGTCTCCCTAGTCCCAGCCTGCCTGGAAGTTGCTATGTGGACGAGGCTGGCTTCTATCTTGAAGAGATCATCCTGCCTCTGACTCCCAAGGGCTGGGATTAAAGACGTGCACCACCACTCCCAGCGTGAATATAACATTTAAGTCACTGGAGTAGCAAAGTCAGTAAATATCTTCACTATTTTCTTTCTTTCTTTACTAAAAATCTGTTCTTATTCTATACAATTCAAGTACTTCATAAACATAAAATATAGAAAGTGAAAGTTACCTATTTCTCCATGTTTCTCCTGTGAATTTTAATTTTTTAAAAGATCAACAAATAGGGGCTGGAGAGATGGCTCAGTGGTTAAGAACACTGTTCCTGCAGAAGACCTGGGTTCGAATCCCAGAACCCACATGGCAGCTAACAAATGTCCATAACTCCACTTCCAGGGGATCCAACAACCTCTTCTGTCCTCCATGGGCATTGCATGACATGGCTGCACTTACCTAC